TTTTTTCCAAAATAAAATATAAATGTGAGTTCAGTAATAAGAGATTTAGTATATACCTTTTACCAAACCTCAAATTTTTTATTAATAATATTGTTGTGTGTTAAAAAGAAATAATAAATGTGAAATCACACCCTTGCTCTCAATACAAACACACCGACCCCAACAAATTGCAATAATAGAAACATTCTAAATATATACAACAATATAAATTGTGCTATATATTTTTAATAGTATTATTATTATTTTTATTATTTGTTTGTTTATTAAATAACAACACAACAGTATTATTATCAATAATATTTAATAATTTTTTTTATTTATTTAAAACCAAAAATGGAATTTTACTAATTTAAATAATTTCTTTTTTTTTTTTTTATTATTATTTTTTCAAACAATATTTTTTAAAATATTATTTTTATGTTTACTTTTTATATTATCACATATAGATTCAAATATATAAAAATTTTAAAACCTTTTTTTTAAACCAGATATAGAGGGTTCCATATAGATTATTCAAAGTTTTCTTAAACAGTTCTATTTTTATAAAATATAATACCATCATTCAAACAAAACATAATTAACCAACTTTAAAAAAAACACTTTCACACACACACACACACATTAAAAAATTTTCAACAAATACAATCAAAATTATTTTTTACTAAATAATAACCTCGCACACTCACATAATTATAATATTAAATCACACACATTTAACACACAATAACAAAACACGGAATCAAAATTTAATTGATTTGATTTATAATAATAATCATAAAGGTAAAAACATTTTTTTTTTTATAATTAATTTTTTTTATTTTGTTGTTATTTATTTAAAAAAAAAATTATTTTTATACTAATCAAATTTTTTATTTTTATTTTTTTATTTTATTTTTTAAATATTAATTTTATATATTTAATTTTATAAACCGCAAACACAAACACACATACACACAACACACAAATACTAAACACAAAAATAATTTTACAATTTTTTTTTTATAAAAACCATTTAGAATTTTTTATAGTGTTTTGTAAATATTATTTTGTAAATTATTTATTTTGTAAATATCTATAGACAACAAAACAAACATAAAAAATGTCCTCAACTTTATTAGAATATATTAAAACCATAATTCCAAATAAAGAATATAATGAAAAAGATAAAGAATTATTATTAGAAATATTAACATTAATAATTTGTAAATTGGTAAAAGTTGGCGATGAAGTAAGTATATGCATATACCCACCTACCTTCTGTATAATAGTCTTTTAACACTAACATTGCATTACTATAGACTTTAAAAATTAATGGTAAAAACTCACACGAACAATTTATGCCACCAAATAAAAAGTTACCAGCCATTAGTATTAGGGATTACCTTACAAGATTAATGAAATATTCACCATGTTCAATTGAATGTTTTATATCATCATTAGTATATATCGATAGACTCACTGACAAATGTGGTCTATCGGTTAATTCATATAATATTCACAGACTTTTAATTACTACACTATTAATATCAACAAAATATTTAGATGATATGTAAGTTATACAATCATATATATTAAATACTATTTGTGTCGATTCTAACATTTCTTTTTATTATGATATAGTTTTTATAATAATGAATTTTATTCACAAGTTGGTGGTGTTGGATTAAAAGAAATGAATACTTTGGAATTAGATTTTTTAAAACTTTTAGAATTTCGTGCAATTTGCCCAATTGATGATTTTCTTAACTATCAAAAAGAAGTCGAAAATGCAAAACAAAGATTTATTAATGGACCAAATCATATTTCAAATATTGTTGTAAATAAAATCCCATTACCATGCATCAGCTCACCAACTTCCTGTTCACCAAGAAGACAAAATATTCCACATAGTCCACATAGTCCACAATCCCAAATGGTTCCACAATCCCAAATGGTTCCACAATCCCCAAATGGTAATAATATAAACTCTAATTCTAATAATAATAATAATAATGATAATAATAATATAAATGATAATAATAATATAAATAATAATAATAATATAAATAATAATATAAATAATAATATAAACAATGCCATTGTACCACAAACAACTAATAATGTAACTAATAATTCTAATAATTTAAACAATATAAACTCCAATATAATAATAAATACTAATATTAGTAATTCAAACCATTTAAACACTAATACAAACCAAAATCAAAATAATAACAATAATAATAATATAAATAATAATAATACAAATGGTAACAATAATAGTAGTTTCTACCAAAGGCGCGGAAGCTGTGATTATGAAACTTCAACCCGTCTCCCATCTGAACAATCCACATTTCATACCAATTGTGCCGCTTAAACTAAAATCTTCAAAAAATTCAAATAATAATTTTAGAAAAAACATTACCATTTTGCTATACTCTTCAGTTCTCTTCATCATATTCTTTATAAATATTGTAAATAGATTCCACCTAACACCAACCCAACTTTTCATTGATAACAAATAATATCATCCTTTTCTCTTTTTTTTTTTTTAAAATATTTAAATACTATCATTAAAAAAAAAATAATAAAAAAAAAAAATAATAAAAAAAATAATAAAAAAAATAAAACCATCAATCATTTTATTAGTCCAAAGTTAACAAATGGAAAAATAAATAAATTTTAAATAAAACTCTTTTATATATATTTCTTATATAATTTTAAAACAATTACAAATTATAAAACTATTTTAAAATGTTTTTTTTTTTTTATTATTTATAAAAATAAAAATTAAATATAGTTTTGGGGTTATTTAATATTACTTGCGATTTAAAAGAGGAGTGGTATTTTTGGAACTGAATTTTGACATAAAAGTTAAACTCGTTAATGCTTTGGTAAAAGAATGAGTTGCTAATTAAACAATTGAATATTTTCTTTAAATCTTTCTTTACATTTGTATTGAGGTAAATTGAAACTGAAAACAATTCTATATTTTTTGTAAATGCTAATGTTTTTAAAAAACTAATAATCTCTTCTAAATTGTCCCCCTGTGTAATAAATATATTTCTAATTGTTTTGTTAAATGGTAAAACCTTTTGGATGATTTGGTTTGGATTTGAAACGAAGAATTCTAATTTTTTAATTGTTTTATTCCTTAATAGACCATCGATGAACAAATTGCTATTGGTCTCTTCAAACTGGTTTAATAATAATATCTCGATATTAATTGTTTTATTTGTTAAAATCGAATTTATTCTTTTGCAATTGTAGTGCCCAAATTTCAAAACTTGTTCAGCATTGAGGTTGCTTTTAAAAATATCACCTTTTATTTTGAATCTTTGAATTTTTTTATAGGAGCATAAAGAGCTTTCGACTACATCCCAACTACTTATCAATCTGATGAAGATAGTATCGATGTTGGTTCCCTGGTTATAAAGATCTTTATAGTGAAGGTCGTACCCTAAAGAGAGTGATTTTAGTGAGCTGTCGTTGATATCTAATACTTTGTTAGGTTGCAGGATCCATGACTCTAAATCTATACTTCTAATACATGGATTCTTCATTAAAACGGATAGATTTGGGTATGTGCTGGGGGTCATTGATGTTTTATATGAATTTAAAATAATTGATTTTGCATTTAACTTTGAGATCCTTTCTAGTAAAAGGTCGGTGCTATTATTTAAACCAAATACATACAGAGTGTTTATATTTATTTTACTTTTAATTTCTTTTAAATTTTCACTACTTAAAGTCTCTTCGTGATAATCTATTGAATTTGGGAGGATTGTTAAAAACAAAATGATATGAACATTCTCTGGGAACTTTTCATTTGATGACAATATAGATCTTAATGTTCTTTCACTGCTATGAAGTAAAACTTTTCTAAAACTTCTGATATCGTTATTTGCAATAAATTCTTTATATTCACCCATTGTTCTGAAAACTATAACTGAGTTTTTTAATTTTATTAAACTAAATTTTGAATCCTTAATTAAGGATTTTAAAGCTTCATAATTTTTGAACCTTAATATATTTTTTTCTAATATATTTGAAATACTATTAAAACAAAATTTATTTACTAAACTGTATTGGAGAACTTCTTGGTTATTATATATATATCTTGGAACTGATAATAACTCTTCTTTAGTTTCTTTGGTTATGTAAATAAAATTTAAAATGATCTCGAATATTTTGGTATATAAATAATTTACCAATATAGTCATTTTAAAATTATTATTAATTTATTTAATTTTGATTGACAATTATTATTATTATTATTATTATTATTATTTTTATAATTGTTTTGATTAATGTGTGTGATAAAATTAAATTAAATTAAAAAAAAAAAATTTAAAATTAAAATTTTTTTATTAATTTTTTTTAAAATAATATTTAATTTTGATTATCATTTTAGGTTATATTATTTCTGAATACTTTGAATGTGAAACACTGTGCCATTAAAATCTTATTTATGTTTAAATCAAAAGTACAAAAAAATAAAAAAAAATAAAAAATAAAAATAAAAAAATAAAATAAAAAAATAAAAAAAAACAATTTAATTTAATTTAATCTATTATTTTTTTATATGAAAGTATGAAAAAAAAAAAACGATAACATTTAAATACCACTATATGGTGAATCAAAACACAACTATGGTGAGTGCCTCACAAAAATAATTTATTTTTTTTTTATTTTTTTTATTTTTTTTTTATTTTTATTTTTTTTTTTTTTAAAATTTCATTTTTTCATTCAATTTTAAAAAAAATTTACATAAATTTTTTTTTTTTTTGTTTAAAAAATAAATAACATTAATAAATTTGTAATATTAAAAAAAATAATATAAAATTCAGCCAAAAATCGCATAAAATTTACACAATATAAAATTAAATTAAATACCACCTCTTTGTTCTTAAATTATATATACAATATCTTTATTTACCACACACAATACAAATACACATTTTTTTACAAGCCAATATAGGATTTGTTTTTTTAAATTTTAGTTTTTTCAATTTGTTAAATTTTTTACCACACCAAACACACTGTTTAAAATAAAAAAAAATAATTTTAAATACTAATTTTAAAAAAAGATATAATTAATAAATTTTATTTTAAAAGTTGTTTAAAATTCTTTAAAATTATTTAATAAATATCATAAAAAAAGATATCATAAAATTATTTTTAAAAAAAAAAAAATAAAAAGTTATCAATAATTTTTCGTTCGTTTTTTTTTTTTTTTTCAAATAAATTAGTCCTTATAATAAACTACAATATATAATAATATAAAAATATAATAATATAACAATAAAAGATGTGTCGTTTTATATTCTATCTTGGTGCACCAATTAAATTATCAACAATTGTTTCCCAACCATCACACAGTCTTTTAGTACAATCCTTACATTCAAACCAAAGCGGAGTTGCACTAAATGCAGATGGCTTTGGTATTTCATGGTATGTACCAGAAATTACACCAATTCCAGGTGTTTTCAAAGATATTACACCAGCTTGGAGTAACATTAATTTAAGACAATTATCAAGAGTCACAAAAAGTGGTTGTATTATGGCCCATGTTAGAGCTGCCAGCGCTGGTGCTATTGTAAATACCAATTGTCACCCATTCACATTTAAAAACTTTAGTTTTATGCACAACGGTACAATTTCCTATTTTTCAAAATTAAAAAGAGAAATCTATAATTTAATTTCAGACTCTGTAAGTGACACACTAGAACAAACCAAGCAAAATAATTAATACTAACAAAAAATATTATTATTTATTTAGGCATTCGAATTAATTAAAGGTACAACTGATAGTGAAGTTTTATTTGCATTATTTATATCAAACTATGAAAAAGAAATTGGATATGTAGCTGAAAAAGTTAAACCAAGTGGTACAATTTATTACTCTACACATTGTGCACAAGAGCCCGAAGAAAAGGCATACCCTCAAAATGTAAACAATACTGAAATTATTCCACGTGTTCTTCAACAAACAATCCTTCAAATTCATCAACTTATTCTTAAATTTGAAATTGAAAGTGGTATTCTTTCATCAAAAGATGTAATGGAGGGTGCATCATTAGCCCAAACCTTTACATGTGGTAAACTAAATCTTGCTGTTACCGATGGTAATACTGTAGTTATCTCACGTTATGTAACTGGTCAACCAGAGAATGCCCATTCATTATATTGGTGCCGTGGTAGTACCATTCAATGCGATAAAGGTCATTGTTTAATAGGTAAAACTGACTCACCATTATCAAAACCTTATGGTGAATCCTTAGTTATTTCATCAGAACCATTGGCTGAAGATTTTAAATGTGAAGAAGTCCCAGTTAATCACATGGTAATTGGTAACTCTTCTGGATTCTTTTCAATTGATTCCATTAATTAAAAACCAATAACAACAATAATATAATAATAATATAATATAATAATATAATAATAATAATAATATAACCAATATGTATTTTTTAAAAAATTTAATAAAAATCAATTCGACTATTATAGTTATTTTTAAATAATTATAAACCTTATATAAAACTAAATATAGAATTTGTATTTTAATAATTATATTTTATTTTATTTATCTTATTTTATTTATTTTATCTATTATATTTGTTTTTTTACAGGAATGTGTTTATTATATTATACATCAATTTAAATTATTGTTGTGCCAAAAAGACAGGTGGGCAAATTTGATTATATAATAGAGTTGAAGCCTCAATGCCTTTTAAATGTTCTACTATTTTAAGAGCAAAAGTTTGAGAAACACCAGCAGATGCACCAGTAATAATGTTCCCGTCTGCAATAGCAGCTTTGTCTATCTCTTCAAAAGCACCATCCATAAATTGTTTGCATCCAGGGAAATGTGTTACCTTTTTACCTACTAAAAGTCCACTTTTACCAAGCTAAAATTTAAATAAATATTAGAATATATACATATTTAATTTTATAATTTTGTAATACATACAATTTGAGGGGCAGCACAAATTGCTGCTATGGTTTTGTTATTAGCATGTCCAAACTTTTTGACCATTTCTACAACTTGTTCGTTTAATAAAAGTTTGTTTATACCTGGACCACCGGGAATAATAATTCCATTGTATAACTCGGCATTGAATTCATCCCATGAGATATCTGCTGAGATTTCTATATAATGCGATCCTTTTATTAACTTTTTTTTATTTTCGACACTAACGATATCCACTAAAATATTTGCCCTTCTTAATAAATCGATGGTTGTGACTGCTTCTATTTCTTCAAATCCATCAAATATGAAAATTGCAAGTTTAACTTTATTCATTCTTTTTTTAAAAATTTAAAAGTTGAAAAGTAAAAAAAATAAAAAAAGAATAAAATTAATAATGAATGAAAAAATTAAAAAAAAAATTTAATGAACTAAAAAAAATTTTTAAAAAAAAAAATAAAAAAAATAAATATACCCCCAATATTATTAAATATTTTACAAAATTTGAAAGAAAATTTTTTTAAGTGAAACTATGGATCTCTTGGATCTATACTAAACAAAAAAAAAACAAGGTCTTTTTAAATAGGCCCCACTTATCAAAAATATCCAAAAAAAAAATGGCGTTATGTTTTCTGAAAAACTAACAAAAAATACAAAAAAATAAAATTGAAAAATTAAATAAAAAAAAAATTATGGGGCTTTTTGTATTACCACCAATAAGATTTTTTCATTGAATGTAAAAAATACCAATTAAAAAAAAAAAAACTTTGCATCTCTCTTTTTTATTTATTTAGATTTATACTATTATCTCTTGATTTTAAAACATCAAAATATTTATGTTCCATTGCTTCTTTGGCAGTTAATCTTTCTGTGGGATCATATCTTAATAGTTTATCTAAAAAGTCAATAGCATCAGGTGTTGCAATGTCTTCATTTTCGTATGGGATGAATCTTTCCCAGCTACTCTTTTGACGTCTAAAGAAAAGTTAAATTAGCATTTAGTTTTTTTTTTTTTTTTTCTTTTAAATTTAAAATATACGTACGGCTTTATCATTTGAGATTGTTCTTCAGTCAATGACAAACCAAATTTATCTAAAAATTTGTATAAATCATCGGTACCTAAAACTTTAACGATTTTTAAGAGTTGATTATTATTATTTTCTCCAGCAAAGAAAGGATCCCTATCCAATATTAAACCAGCAAACAAACAACCAAAACTCCACATATCTAAACTATAATCATAATCGTACATATTAACCAATAATTCTGGTGGCTTGTAATGTCTCGATGCAACTCTAACATTATAATTTTTAAAAGGATGATAAAATTCTGCTAAACCCCAATCCAATAAAAACAATTTTCTTTTCGAATGATCAATTGCTATATTTAATGGCTTGATATCTCTGTGAATTATACCTTTAGAATGAGTATAATCTATTGCCTAAATATTAAATATATTAAAAAACATTAATATCTAGGTCAGGTGAATCCATCTATTGCTATTAAAACTACATACCTTTAATAATTCAAACATATAATATCTAATATCATAATCTTCTAAATAGTTTACTAATTCTCTAATATCGGTTTTATTTACAAATGGGAAAACTAAACTACAAACTTTTGATAAAGGATCTTTTACATAATCCAAGAGAGGTATTATATTTGTGCCTCCATCGAGGGATTCTAAAATTTTAATTTCTCTTTGAATTTTTAACTTTTGAACAGGCTTTAAAACTTTGATTACAACCTCGTCATCTGTATTTATATCGATGCCAGAGAATACTTCACTGTATTTACCTCTACCAATCTTTTGAATAATTTCATATCTTGAAACATCTTTCCAATTAATTCTGTAATTTTCATAATCATAGCTTTCTTTAGGTTGATTTTCATTTACATCCCTATAAACTCTTGCTACATTTTTTAAAATTCTTTTTTGTTCGAAACCATTACTATTATTATTACTATTACTATTACTATATTGTTGTTGCTGTTGTTGTAATTGAAGCTGTTGTTGGTGATATATTTGTCTTTCTTGCTCCTTTTCTTCTCGTTGTTCTGTTTGCTCTTTATTTAGTGAATGTAATGGATCAGCAATTAGTTCGTTCATAATTTCTAAATCACTGACCATTTGACCCAAACTACTACTTATACCACTGCTAAGTGATGAGTGATGATTAATTTCTGAAATATCACTGGTTGTATTTTTATATTTTCTAAAACTAACTTCGTCATTAGGAATATGGAGTGATGATGTTCTTGAGCTTCCAACATTACCTTTAATTTTATTATTATTATTATTATTATTATTACTATTACTATTATTATTATTATAACTATTATTTACATTTATTATTTCATTATCGCTTGAATTTGGTGTTTGTTGATTTGATGATGCTGTTCGAACTGCATATCCTCCTATATAATATATGAGTGGTGCAAACAGAGCAGAACCTGAATATGGTGAATATGGATTAACATAACCAAACGTTATAGCAAATATTATTGCTACTGAATATAATAAGATAAGAAATTCAGAATTTCCCATCCTACTGAATTTTATATGTATTGTATTATTTATAGAATCTATTTTTTGATTTATACACTAAAAAATAATAGATTATTATTTTATATTTCCAATTTGATAAAGTTGATTTTAATTTTGACACTGTTTGGGAAAAGAACTATTTAAAATATAATTTATTAATATATTAATTATTTATATAAGAAAAATTTAATAAATGTAAAAAAAAAAAAAGTAAAGAAAAAGAATAAGAAAATTTTTATTATTTTGTTTTATTATTAAAGTTTTTTTTAAAAAAAAAAAAAAAAGTTTAAATATTTATTTGTTGTTTATCTTTAATTTGGAACATTAAAAAAAAAATTTATTTGTTTTTATAAAAAACTAATATATAGTTTTAAAATATTTTTTAATTTTTTAATTTTATAAACTTAAATATAATAAAGTAAATAAATAAATTTACTTGGGGGTTTTTTTTTTTTTTTTTTTTTTGATTTAAATTATATATTGGTGAATATTTTATAACTGTTTAGTTGTATGTAAATAGATGATATTAAAAAAACAATAGAGATAATTCCAATGAATATATCTTTTTTTTTTTTTACACACACATATAGTTTTAAAAAAAAATAAAAAATAACGAAGTAAATTAAATATAAAAAGACAAATAAAATTGAAAAATAAAAAAATAAAATAATTTAAAAAGAAATTTTGTGTGTGTGAAATTTAAAATTTTATTTTTTTTATTTATTTTTTTATTTTTTGTTTAATTTTAATTTTTTTATTTATTACACATTTATTTGAATTGATTTATAATTATAACTTGTATCTTAATAATTCCAATAATTATTATAAAGCTATAATAAAACTATATTTAAAAAAATAAAAAAAGAAAAAAGAAAAGTGCAAATATTAAAAATGTAAAAAAATAATGTGTGGTGGTGTGTGTTATTTGTGAAAACTATAAACTTTTAAAAAAAAAACTGAATAATAAAAACCAATTTACCTACAATTATTTATTTTAATTAAAAAAAAATAATAATCCCCAAACAAATAAATAAATATATATAGATCCCATAAAAATTAAAAAAAAAATTTTTTGAATTTTAAAAAAACTATTATAATTGTAACGAAAATTTTCTTTTTTAAAAAGAGATATTTTAGAAAAAAAAGAAAAAAAAAAAAAATTGAATTTTTAATTTTATTTTTTTAAATTTATTATTAATGGAACCAAAAATCCCATTCACAATTTTTTATTTTTTTTTATTTTTTAAAATAATGGAATTATTAATAATTTCAGATTTAATTTTTATTATTTATTTTTTTTATTTTTTTTTTGATACAATGGTTAAATTTATTTAAAATAGGATTATGTAGTAATAAATAA